TCGGTTTGAATTTGTAAGCAACTATAGCTCTTACTTGTCTTTTGCAGGATTACACATGGATTTGTTAAACATATGGTTTATTATTTCATTGAAAGGCGCACCACAGGTGGAAAAGGAAAAAAGAAGAAATCTGTATGAATGACCAAATAACACCGAAGTCTAGATTGTCATTATTTATATTGATTAATAAGGGCGTTATAACTCGAAGCTGGCCTCTTGTTTGGGTTTGCAGTGCTATAATTTAACGAAACTCTTGGTGTCACTGTGCACCAACAAAGACAGGAGGTCTCTATTCTTCATCTTCTTTTCTGCCATTGCGAAGCCTATTTTGGTGTAGCGTGTCCTAGGTTGAGGGCATTACAAAAGGCAAACGCTGGGATTATTTAGAATATTCAAAAAGAGCACTATTTTTGATCACTTTCAAGGAATTTTCCAGGAAAGGATTAAACCTTATTCGATCATGGGAAGTGCAGTATACGGAAGATTGGCTATGAATTGCTATTGTGTGGTTTTCCTTTTCGTGGCCTTGCATTTCGCCCATGGAGACGTGAGCTACACTATCGCAGAGGAGATGAAAGGCGGATTTGTGATAGGGAATATCGCCAAAGATCTGGGTCTTGCGATGGCGACTCTTTCCTCGCGTAAAGCCCGCATTGACACAGACAGAGACGATAAAAGGTATTGTGACATTAATCTGAGCACCGGAGATTTGACTGTCATTGACAGGATCGACAGGGAAAGTCTTTGTGGTAAAAAAGCCAGCTGTGTTTTAAAAGAGGAGCTTGTGCTGGAAAACCCTTTAGAGCTTCATCGCATCAGTATTCATGTGCAAGATATAAATGATAACGCGCCAGAGTTTAGTGAGGATCTGATTTCATTTGAAATAAGAGAATCGGCAGACAAAGGAGAGAGATTTTTACTTACGGAAGCCCGCGATGCCGACATAGGCACAAACGCTGTGCAACGGTACAATTTACAAAACAATGAGCATTTCACCATTAATGTAAATACAGATGTTAGTGGGAGGAAACATTCCGAATTGGTTTTGTTAAAAGAACTAGACCGAGAAAAAGCGAAAGAGCTGAAATTAGTGCTTACAGCTGTAGATGGTGGATCTCCTCAGAGATCAGGTACTGCGATTATTCGCATCACTGTGCTGGATGCTAATGATAACGCCCCAGTGTTCAGCCAGGCCGTTTATGAAGCCAGTGTGCCTGAAAACTCTCTTTTAGATACCGTAGTTGTTACAGTGAGCGCAACCGATGCAGACACTGGCCCAAATGGTGATATTACATATAACTTCGATCATGTCTCTGATGAGCATGCATCTTTGTTTTCACTGAATCATAAGACAGGAGAGGTAAAAGTTATCGGGTCACTTGATTATGAAACGGAGACTTCAATAGAGCTGCGAGTAAGAGCAAAGGACGGACCGGGTCTTACCTCTTATTGTACAGTAGTTATAGATATAACTGATGTCAACGACAACCCACCAGCCATCAATTTGAAATCACTAACTAACCCCATACCCGAGAACGCCCCATCTGGTACAGAGGTGGGCATCATTAACGTGCAGGACAGAGATTCTGAGAATAACCGACAGGTCCGTTGCTCCATCCAGCAGGGTGTCCCCTTTAAGTTGGTTCCGTCTATTAAAAACTATTATTCTCTGGTGACCACAGGACAACTGGACCGTGAACTAGTATCTGATTACAACATTACAATAACTGCCACTGACGAGGGCTCTCCACCTCTGTCCTCTTCTAAAAGTGTTCAGTTATCTGTAGCTGACATTAATGACAACCCACCTGTGTTTGAGGAACAGTCGTACAACGCATATGTGAGTGAGAATAACAAACCGGGCTCCACTTTATGTTCCGTTAGTGCTCGAGACCCCGACTGGAGACAGAACGGTACAGTGGTTTATTCTCTGTTAGCTGGTGAGGTGAACGGTGCCCCGGTGTCCTCCTATATGTCTGTGAACGGAGACACGGGTGTGATCCACTCTGTGAGGTCGTTTGATTATGAACAGTTCAAGAGTTTTAAAGTCCACGTGATGGCCAGAGACAACGGTTCTCCTCCCCTCAGCAGCAACGTGACCGTGAGTGTGTTCATCTCAGATGTGAATGACAACTCTCCTCAGATCCTGTATCCCTCCCCGGAGGGCAATTCCTTCATGACCGAGCTGGTCCCCAAAGCTGCACACGGAGGCTCTCTGGTGTCCAAAGTGATCGCGGTGGACGCGGACTCCGGACAGAACGCCTGGCTGTCCTATCATATAGTCAAATCCACTGATCCGGGACTTTTTACTATTAGTGTCCACAGTGGAGAGATCAGGACACAGCGGGACATTTCTGAATCTGACAGCATGAAACAGAACCTTGTAGTGGCAGTGAAAGATAACGGACAGCCCTCTCTGTCTGCCACCTGTTCCATGTATTTACTTATTTCTGATAACTTGGCTGAGGTACCAGAACTGAAGGATCTGTCTTATAATGAGAACAATTCCAAACTGACCTCTTATCTGATCATCGCACTGGTGTCTGTCTCTACGTTTTTCCTGACTTTCATCATCATCATTCTGGGTTTGAGGTTTTGTCGCAGGAGAAAGCCCAGACTGTTGTTTGATGGAGCAGTTGCCATCCCCAGCGGTTATCTCCCTCCTAATTACGCAGATGTTGATGGCACAGGAACTTTACGCAGCACTTACAATTATGATGCGTACCTGACCACAGGTTCTAGAACCAGTGACTTTAAGTTTGTGACATCATACAATGACAACACGCTGCCCGCTGACCAGACTCTGAAGAAAAGCCCATCAGACTTTGCTGATGTTTTTGGACACTGTGGTGGTTCTCCTGAGGTAAGGGTGTCAAATGTTCGATACATTATTTTAACAGATAAAATGTTCACTCTTTCCTCCAGTCAATCTTTTTTCGCTTTTTCTAAAATCCCGTTATAGTATTTATCACACTTTGCCTGTTGCCTGACATTATTTTTACTGCTACTTTTGAAGGGAAAGTTTCTTGATGTTGTTGAAATCATTTTCTCCTGGTTTTGTTTTAATGGGTTGCTGTCTTTACGGTCCTCTACATCAACGAAAAGTTTACATTTTGACATAGTGGAAAATTAGTATGTCTTACAAAAGCAAGTATTAGTTTTACAAAAACAAGTCGTGATAGCACTATTGTGTTTAGACACGCGCCCCCTTTGTTTCAGCTTTTCTGTTTCTTTTGTCATCGTATATTACGCAGATCTTCCCATGATCTAATTTTAAAAGTGCAGTCGCTCACATGTTATCTACAGTTGCTTCCTAATGTACACATGCTGTTCAGATTCGAGTCTTCGTGTGTAACATATTCTCAAAGTTTCTTTTGAACTTGTTTTCTTGTGTTTAAGCCTACATATATATGAGCTAAATAATATGTCACCCATATTTTAGCAAACCATTTGTGACCCGAGGTATGCACCCATTTCAATAGGGATTAGCTGTAGGCATACAGTCAGTTTACAGGGTTTTTAATGCTAATACAAAATAAAATCTTTCTAAACATGTAACAGTAGCACCCAAAACAATTAAAAGCTCAACTTTATTAAATACATTTAAAACTATAAAATTGTACGATTGTAAGTGGAAGACAGGATAAGCGCTGCGGGGAATCTATTAAAAACTAGTCACTCTTACAATGAAAGACAAACAAATAAACAAAATAAACAAACAACCACAACCGTCAAAATAGTCCTCAGCGCTTTGCTGTCAAGTTAAACCAGTTTTAAAACAAATTATCTGTAATTTGTAACAGGACATCACTTGCACAGAAAAATCTACCTCAGAAGGAATATTCCCCCACTTCTCTTCATGTATGTGTTTCAGTTACCTGTCTCCAGGTTAGGGTCGCACCCTAATAAGTATTGGCAAGCGGAGGCGGAGTCCGCTAAAAGTTTCTCCATAGGAATAAAACAGTGTTTTCCTCCTAAAGCTGTAAATAACTTTAAACCTCTACCAAACTACCAAAACTCAAGCGGAACATTTTCTGTGACCTACCACTCATATACAAGGCTATGGACCCACATCTAGCCTTCACTGAAAAGTTAAAAAAGAGAAACAACACGGCTTAGACCAGGGAGTCACACAGCTCCAGGTTCACACAAGAGATCGACTAATTACCTGCACCTGCCCCAGCCCCGCCTCCCAGGGTCGGTTCTCAGACTCAGGTCACACCTCTCACACCTTTGTCAAGTTGCTTTCACGAATAGTGGAAGTGCAGGTCTTTGTTTAACTTTCTCCTCTTTCTTTTCTTTTCTTTTTTCAAATGTTGCAATTATTGACTTGCATGTTCACATTTTTATTGGAACTGATCACAGAGGTAAAGTTCTTGAATATTATAAAACGTTGTGGCCGTTAAAATCTTCTTGCTTTTCCTTCTCGAATCTCTGTTCTGATACAGAAATGTCAATTGAGATTAATGTTTAATTTAAATATTTCGAAAATTACTCAAGCATTTTTAGTAGCTTAAAAAACAAATAAAAAAAAAACTATTTCTGTAGTTTGAAGCATTTTTAACGCTTTCCCGTCTACAAACATTTAATTGTTTTTCAAAAGTTATCATGTAAATCGTGGCCACACATTTTCGGTGAACACAGGTATTTAAACTTTAATTTGTATCACATTTTGTATACAATAATGATCTAAACGTTCGCAGATATGAGTTTTCATCGGCAGCATTGCTCAGTATACAGCGACGTTTCGGATTAATGCAATTTTTATTTCTTTTTTTTATCTGTCTGCACACTTCAATATACACTTTTACTTTTAAATTAAGGTTCAACTTTCGTCCATAAACGCTTCCATGCGCCTTGTACAGGGCTGCTGCTCAATGCAATCTTTAAATTAGACTCACGATGTCGCTGTCCACCTTGCCTATCTTAAAATCCACACCTATTTGTCGAGGCAAAATGTGTTTTAATGTGCTGCAGTTGGTCATCGAAGGACACGCAGACGTGGTTTTAGATTGTGCTGATTTTGGCTTAAATAATATTTGTGTGTTTGTTGTATTCCTGCGCATTACAGAGGAAAGATATACATGTCATGATGGTTAACGCGACATTTGGAATACACACCCTTGTCGTTGCTTTACTCTTCTTTTGTTTGTATTTTGTTAGCGGGGATATAAGCTACTCTTTTACAGAGGAAATGCGACACGGGACTGTGATCGGAAATATCGCCAAAGACCTCGGCATCGACGCAAATACACTATCTCTTCGAAAGGCTCGTATTGATACTGAAGGAAGCGACAAACGATTCTGTGAAATAAACCTCCGTAACGGAGATCTGATTGTTGCCGAAAGGATTGACAGAGAGGGCCTGTGTGGAGACAAAGCATCCTGCGTTTTAAAACAAGAACTCATGTTGGAAAATCCATTAGAACTGCAGCGAATCAGCCTACATGTCCAGGATATAAATGACAACTCCCCACAGTTTGATAAGAATTTGATCCATATAGATATTAGAGAATCTGCGTCAAAAGGTGCTCGTTTTCCAATAGAAGAAGCGCACGATGCCGACATAGGTAAAAATTCAGTTCAATCATACAACCTACAGACGAATGAAAATTTTTTCCTTGGAGTTGGAACCAATTCTGTGGAACTTGTTCTTAACAAAGAGCTCGATCGTGAAACATTACAAGAAATTAATCTACTTCTGACCGCTTTAGATGGTGGTTCCCCTCAAAGATCAGGTACCGTGGTCATTCACATTACTGTTTTGGACGCTAATGATAACGTGCCAGTGTTTAGCCAGGCCGTTTATAAAGCCAGTCTGTCAGAAAACTCTCCCATGGGTACTGTTGTGCTGACAGTAAAAGCAAATGATGCAGATGATGGACTAAATGGAGAAGTTACATATGATTTTGGACACGTTTCAGAAGACGTTAAGTCAATATTTGCCATAGATTATAAAACAGGGGATATAAAATTGTCCGCCACAGTTGATTATGAAACAGTGAGATCGTTTGAGCTTCGCATAACTGCGAAAGATGGTTTAGGATTAACTTCCTATGCTAAAGTCATAATAGATGTTACTGATGTGAATGACAACCCACCTGTAATATATCTAAAGTCACTGTCGAACCCCATACCCGAACACTTGTCACCTGGTACAGAGGTGGGCATCATTAACGTGCAGGACAGAGATTCGGAGAATAACCGACAGGTCCGCTGCTCCATCCAGCAGGGTGTCCCCTTTAAGTTGGTTCCTTCTATTAAAAACTATTATTCTCTGGTGACCACAGGACAACTGGACCGCGAACTAGTGTCTGATTACAACATTACAATCACTGCCACTGACGAGGGCTCTCCACCTCTGTCGTCGACTAAAAGTGTTCAGTTATCTGTAGCTGACATCAACGACAACCCACCTGTGTTTGATGAGCAGTCGTACAGCGCATATGTGAGTGAGAATAACAAACCTGGCTCCACCTTATGTTCCGTTAGTGCTCGAGACCCCGACTGGAGACAGAACGGTACAGTGGTTTATTCTCTGTTAGCTGGTGAGGTGAACGGTGCCCCGGTGTCCTCCTATCTGTCTTTGAACGGAGACACGGGTGTGATCCACGCTGTGAGGTCGTTTGATTATGAACAGTTTAGGAGTTTTAAAGTCCACGTGATGGCCAGAGACAACGGTTCTCCTCCTCTCAGCAGCAACGTGACCGTGAGTGTGTTCATCTCAGATCTGAATGACAACTCTCCTCAGATCCTCTACCCTTCCCAAGAGGGCAACTCCTTCATGACCGAGCTGGTCCCCAAAGCTGCACACGGAGGCTCTCTGGTGTCCAAAGTGATCGCGGTGGACGCGGACTCCGGACAGAACGCCTGGCTGTCCTATCAAATAGTCAAATCCACTGATCCGGGACTTTTTACAATTGGTGTCCACAGTGGAGAGATCAGGACACAGCGGGACATTTCTGAATCTGACAGCATGAAACAGAACCTTGTAGTGGCAGTGAAAGATAACGGGCAGCCCTCTCTGTCTGCCACCTGTTCCATGTATTTACTTATTTCTGATAACTTGGCGGAGGTGCCAGAACTGAAAGACATCTCTCATAATGAGAACAATTCCAAACTGACCTTTTATCTGATCATTGCGCTGGTGTCTGTGTCCACGTTTTTTCTGACTTTTATCATCATCATCCTGGGTTTGAGGTTTTGTCGTAGGAGAAAGCCCAGACTGTTGTTTGATGGAGCAGTTGCCATCCCCAGCGGTTATCTTCCTCCTAATTACACAGATGTTGATGGCACAGGAACTTTACGCAGCACTTACAATTATGACGCGTACCTAACCACAGGTTCAAGAACCAGTGACTTTAAGTTTGTGACATCATACAATGACAACACGCTGCCTGCTGACCAGACTCTGAAGAAAAGTCCATCAGACTTTGCTGATGTTTTTGGAGATTCTTTGGAGACTCTGGAGGTAGGAGGACATGTTTTTGAACTAGGCTCTTGTGTTCATGTCTTCCAGCCTTACTAATTCATATCAACTTTTTTCCACCACCAAATACCATATTAAATAACCAGTTTAATGGGGTAGTATGACACCAGGCAGATTATGCTCCTGAAATTTGCTTTTTAATTCAAAATTGACAAATTAAAGTTGAAGTTACTACTGAATGTAAATTGGATTCAGAATTGTTTCATATGCACCTGAGACATATGAGATTTGGTTGACTTTAGAATTTGGATTTTTCATGTGTTACAACTGCAGTCTGCTGACCAGACTCTGAGGAAAAGTCCATCAGAGTTTGTAAATTATTTGGTTAAGAACAAGATTTCCTAAAAGTAGGGCCCTGTTATGTTTTTGTCATTGATGACACATCTTTATACTTCACTATTGATCTGAACTCTCTGACTTTATACAACCATTTAGATGATCCTCTAGAATACTGTTCTGGAATCATTTCATGGTGTTTATTAATTTGATGTTAATGTTTTGTATATCCTCTCTGCTCAGAAAGTTAAGAGGTTATGAGACAAGTTTTTAATATGCATCTACATTAGAGTCTTATTTGCAGGAGCAGTTTTCAAATACATATGAGAGAAATCATTCTTAAATTACTGAATATTTGATATTCCAACATGTGTTTTTATAGTATAATATTCTTAATTAGATTCCTAGTACTGAGGCATTATTCCTAATCTTCACTATACTAAATCTATTTTCAAGGGTTAATTTTTGTTAAGATTTTACAAATACAAGGTCTCTGTTGTTTTAAATAGGCTCTCCCTGTATTTATTTATTTGAAATCCACCCAGTTAAAAGCTATTTGTTTATGCTTTGATCATCCCTGAAGAAAAAAATAGCTCTTGATCCACAAAGTATGTTAGGTGTTGAGCTAGTTTTTCGTTTCTTGGTTATATATGACATGTACATACAGCAACAGCCATTTCAAAATAGTGCTATTGTCCTCATTGATTTAGTCTGATAACCTAACTCACCATGCAGTGGTCATATAATTGAACTTAGGCTATACAATCAAATATTGTAGTAGCTTCAAAATGGCTTTCGAAGTCTTTTGTTTCCAGGCCAGTGGCCTTAATACTATCCCAGTATACTATTGCTATTGGCTGCATAAATACTCATAGCAAATATTTAGGGGTAGTTTTTATGCCTTGCCATTTAAAATCTTTACATGCCAAATTTGGCTTTTGATGATTACTCAGTCATCCAGTATTCACTTTTGTAACAGCAAGTGCATAAAAGTTCTGACCTCTGAGGGTACAATGAGTTGGGTCAAACTTATGCCATTACCAGTGGTGTTACCTGACTTTGTGCGTCTCAGTTTTCACCCAAATGACTAATCACTGCAATGCAGATGAAGCTGAACTATCAGTGCATTAGTTTTTCATACTTTTATGCTACAAATAAAGTGCAATAATTGTATTCCTCTATATTTTTCTCTATTCTGTAACCTCTAACTGAGAGAACAAATTAAAAACAACAGATGCATAATTCCAGTGTCAGTGGTGTGTGACATTTTTAAATACGATGAAGGAATACAAGACAGTCAAAAGGAGTTTTATAGAGCTACGTGCACGGGTGAGTGATCGAGTGATACTCACACCCGAGGCATTGCAGTCAGATTTATTTATACCAAGAGACAGTTGCGTAGCATTTCCTGTTTTTCAAGCTTACTTATTAGCATGTGTATGTGTGTGTGTGTGTGTGTGTGTGTGTGTGTAATGGCATGTGATACAAAAATATATGAACATTTTAATACATTTGAAAGCTTTATAACGGAGGTATCTTTTAATAATAGACATCTGCAGTTTAAACTTAAAAGTTACTTCTATCATTCCCTGCTGTTGTTCAAATATTTTGCATCTTATCAACTTCTAGTCACTTGCGGGTACATTTTCAACTAGAGTGTCATTTAGCAAAGTTAAATGTTCAACATTATAAATTCTTTTTCCTTATTTATATGTCGTCCTCTTCTTCCTCAGAGTCTGTGTCACTTTCATTGTTTTCAAGGAGCATCATAGTCTCTGGTGGGGATGTGACATGGGGAGTTATGGCTGTTGCGATAAGTCTGTTTATCAGTGCTCTGATACAAGGTATGCAACAGCATCCGCACAAGGTGAGTATGGCTGCGAATACTGCTACAGATACCAGGATTGATGACACCAAACTCCGATATTTCCCAAACATGTCCATCCAGTTGTCCCACGTAGAAGTGTCAACTCCAGAATGCTCCTTCATTTTCTCGTTCAGAGTCTTCAGGCCTTCTAGGGCTCTGGTCAGACTTCCATCAGCTGCGGTGTTGTTAGGGATGAAGGTACAACATTGCTCTCCGAACATCGAACACACCCCATTCTTCTCGCTCAGTAGCATGTCCAATGCAATTCTGTTCTGGAAAGACATCAGTGAGGTGGCTCTTAGTTGCTCGGCCACTGAATGGAAGCCTGATTGTGTCAGGTTTCCTAGTCTCTGGACGTTATAGTGGATATAGTTAATTCGGTCCACATTCTTGTTGATTGTACACCACCAGCACACCGACGATTCGAAACCGGCAGCCACTTGGTCCACTAGTTTATATTCGTCTGGTACTCCTCTGGGAATGCCTATGGCATCGATGTACGTTGGGTCTGGTCCAGGTTGTTCTGGTGCTGATCTCTTTTGTCGTGGGTTTATCTTCAGTCGTCCTGCTGTTATAGTTATATCCGTGGCTTTGAGTTTTACAACCTGAATGGGTAACAACAGTGATACCAATCCACACATGCCGATCCAGTTGTTAGGCAAACGATCATACAGGTTTGGGTCTCCACACCACCACCAGACATCAGCTCTGCTTCGTGGCTTGAATGAGGAGTCCACCTTTGTAATGGTTAGGCAGCTAGTTGCGTTGAGGCTTCCCAGCCTTTCTCCTGGGCCTATCATATTTATGCAGGTGTGGTTTGCTACCATCACATCTTGTGAGAATATGGGTTTTCTTTTTTCTTCGTTGGTGATGGGAAAGATTCTGTCCCATTTTGTGCAGTTCTTGTCTTGAATGTTGGTATGGTTCATTACAGCTGTCAGGCAGTTTTCTTCCATAGGTGCAGGTACCACTCTCAGTATTGGTCTTGGTCCTAGGCAGACCATGCAGTCATCACTAGCATCTTGAGCTGCTTGTTCTGCCAATAGTAACCAGTTATTTGAGTGTCCTGTGATCCCTGTGGTGACTCGGAACCAGTCGTCTGGCTTTAGTTTTGGTCCCACTATTATGGCAGTATTCATCGTTTTTGAGAGTGGGCCTGCAGATAAAGCCGGGCTTCCGTTTGGTTCGTCTTCTTCCTGTGGCGCCTCTGTGGATGATGGGACCATGCCTTTCGTTATGTTATTGCATATTGACACGAAGTGATGTGGATCTTTTCCGGTCTTGTAGATAAATAGGGTCAGATGGTAGCAGTTAGAGCTACTTGCCAGCGTTGGAACCAGGTGGGTTCTTTTCTGTGATTTTGGTGGCTTCTCCAGCAATGGGTTGTTCAGCGTGTGGAAGTTGAGGATCAGGTGTTCGGCTGTCTTCGTCAAGTTCATTTGCTTTGAAAGGTTTTTTGCTGATTCTTGCAGTTGACTGCTTTGATATGGCATCCAATCATTTCCAGTATAAGTGAAAACGGTGTCCCATCCTGGGTTGTTTCCGTCTGAACTGGATAGGTACCAGTCGTAGCCTTTCCAGGCTTCGGCTTTGTATCCTCCTATGTAGAATGAGTTAAAAGGTATCCATACGGTAGAGGTGAAGCTTGTCTTGTTGTAACACAGGTAAAGGTCGTCTGTTTTCTTTGCCTGTCCGTCTGTGTCATTACAAGGGTTGAACCCGTGTGTCTGGGAGACAACCAGCAGGCTCAGAAGAGTTGGTAATAGCATGTTGGTCATCTTGATTGGATGATTTTCCCTTGGGTGAGCGTCTCTTCTTCTTGACCTTGTGTCTCTCTCTCAAGACCCCCAGTGAGTAGACCCCGGCCAGAGAGGTGGGTTCACGAGTGTTGCCACCTGATCACCCTACCCCCCACCGGGCGAACACAAAGAGGTCTGGAGGAGACTAGGGTCTATGCTTTAGATAGGCTCTACCCTTTTGGTGTGACTTTGATGAATCCACGAAGGTCGTTCAGCAATTTTGCATGCCGTGGGCGTGGTGATCAGGACCTGGTAGGGGCCTTCCCACCTGGGAGTGCTCCAGTTTTTTCTTTGGAGTACTTTGATCAGGATCCAGTCGCCTGGTTTCAACCTGGAAGAGACTGGAAGAGAATCACTCGGCAGTTGATTGTTCGTTATTATTTCTTTATTCTCTAGCAGCTTTGCCATCCATTCTGCTAATGTTGTTTCTCTTATTGATTTATCTATTGGCTCACTGGTAACAGGGAGGGGGAAGGGTCGCCCATGTACTATCTCAAAAGGTGTTAGTTTGTTTGAGCCCTGTGTTAATCTCATCCACATTTTAACTAAACCTATGCACTCAGGCCATGGGCGGCCAGTTTCCTCCATACATTTTCTTAGCCTTTGTTTGATCGTGCCATTTGTTCTTTCTACCAATCCTGCGCTCTGTGGGTGGTAGGAACAATGGTGTTTTATGCTGAAACCTAAAGCTTCAGAGACTTTTGATATTACTTCATTCACAAAGTGTGTGCCATTGTCAGATCTTATTAGGCTCGGTATTCCGTATGTTGGAATATAGTGATTGCACAGACATTTTGCTACTGTTATTGCGTCAGCCTTTTTCACTGAATAGATCTCAGGCCATTTTGAAAATACATCTATTATTACTAGTGCGTACTCTAGTTGTTGGTGCTTGTGTAGTTGGATAAAATCCATGTGTATGGTATGAAAAGGGTGAGGTGGAGTGGGGAAATGACCTCTTTTGGGCCTTAGATTCCCTTGGGCATTGTGTTTTTGACATATCATGCATGTTCTAACATACTCTTTTGCTGAAGTTTCAAAATTTTTTGTGTAGAATTGTTTAGAGAGTATATCTACCATCCCTGCTGTTGACACGT